TTGTGTACTTTGGTGGCAATGTAATTAAGTACATCCCAAAAAAAAGGGATTAATATTCCTAAAAAATCTGAAAGAACTACTACATGTTCCAGCAATGCCACTATTGGAGATATATAGATATATAGAGATATATATATGGGATATATATATATATATATATATATATATATCCATTATTGCCATTGGGCATGTATATATATATATATATATATATATATCCCCTATATATATACACACATATATACACACTTGTATATATATACACACATATACATATACACGTATATACACTTATTTCCATTGGGCATATATATATATATATATATATATATATATATATATATGGATATATACACACATGCCCAATGGAAATAAGTCTCTATTTTTTAAATGTTGTTTGTTATACAAATATCATGTATTTCCTATATACAGATTTAGAAACATAGTGATACTCATCCCTACCCTATTTCCTGCCCAAACTCCAAACCTTCTTCCTCTTTCTTCTTACATTCCCACTCCTAATTTTTACCAAGATCTATGTTCAATTTACTTAAAGATCATATAGTTAACCTTACACAAAACAAAAGAATTCAACAAATAGTATGAAGAGGAAAAACAAAAAAACACTGTTCCTTAATGGGAGAGACAGGAGCTATAAAATAATCAAATCTCAAAATGTCTATTTCACTACATTGCATTTCAGGTATTCTATTAGTTATCTCAGATCAAGGAAAACATATGATATCAGTCCTTTTTGGACTGGCTTATTTCACTTAGTAAAACGGTTTTGATAGTGCCCATCTTGTTGCAAAATACAGGATACTGCATAATGTATATATTGCATAGTTTCTTTTTCTAGTCAAAACCTGATGGAGGCTGGTGCCGTGGCTCACTAGGTTAATCCTCTGCCTTGCGGCACTGGCACACCGGGTTCTAGTCCTTGTCAGGGCACCAGATTCTGTCCTGGTTGCCCCTCTTCCAGGCCAGCTCTCTGCTATGGCCCGGGAGTGCAGTGGAGGATGGCCCAAGTCCTCGGGCCCTGCACCCCATGGGAGATCAGGATAAGTACCTGGCTCCTGCCATTGGATCAGCGCAGTGCACTGGCCGCAGCACACTGGCTGCAGTGGCCATTGGAGGGTGAACCAACTGTAAAGGAAGACCTTTCTCTCTGTCTCTCTCTCTCTCACTGTCCACTCTGCCTGTCAAAAAAAAAAAAAAAACTGATGGACATCTGAGTTGATTGCCAGTCTTAGCTATTGTGAATTATGCTGCAATGAACATAGGGGTACAGATAACTCCTTCATATGCTGATTTCTGGAAGTTTGGGTAAATTCCCCTGAATAGGATGGCTGGATCATATGGTAGGTCTATATTTGGATTTCTGAGGTATCTCCATACTGTCTTTCACAGTGGCTAGAGCAGTTCACATCCCATAAGAGTGGATTAGGGTAGCTTTTCCCCATATCCTCACTAGTATTTGTTGTTTGTTGATATCCACGTGAGAGCCATTTTAACTGGAGTGAGAGGAAACCTCATTGTTACTTTGCTTTGAAAAATATTTTAAATTTGGGTAATATAAATATATCCTGTTGTATTCTTTTTATTCAACATATTTTTTGGCTATTTGGGGCTCTTTCATGTGTTTAAATTAATTTTAATATTTTTTCTAGTTCTATGAAAATGCCATTGGCATTTTGATAAGAATTGCATAAATCGTTATGCAGCCTTGGTTAATATGATCATTTACTGATATCTATTCTTCCAATCTATGGCCATAGATGTCTTCTTTTCTTTTGTGCCTTTTCAATTTCTTTCATCAGTGTTTTCTAGGTCTCATTGTCAAGATTTTTTACTTTATTGGTTGAACTGAGTCCTAGGTTGGTATATTTATAGTAATTGGAAATAAGAATAGTTTTAAAATTTTTCAGATAACTTGCTATTAGTATAAATCACTGCTACTGATTTTTATATTTTGACATTTTATCTTGCAAATTTGTTTTATTAATTCTAAAAGATCTTTGTTAGAGTATGTGATGTTTTCTATGTATGTGCTCATGTCATCTCCCACCAGTGACAATTTGACTTCCTTTGTTCCAATTTGAATGACTATTTCTTTCTCTTACCTAATTGCTACATGATTTTTCATACTATGTTAAATAGAAATGCTTGGCGGGCGCCGTGGCTCACTAGGCTAATCCTCCACCTTGCAGTGCCGGCACACCGGGTTCTAGTCCCGGTTGGGGCACCAGATTCTGTCCCGGTTGCCCCTCTTCCAGGCCAGCTCTCTACTGTGGCCAGGGAGTGCAGTGGAGGATGGCCCAAGTGCTTGGGCCCTGCACGCCATGGGAGACCAGGATAAGTACCTGGCTCCTGCCATCGGATCAGCATGGTATGCCGGCCACAGCACGCTGGCCGCGGTGGCCACTGGAGGGTGAACCAACGGCAAAAGGAAGACCTTCCTGTCTCTCTCTCTCTCACTGTCCACTCTGCCTGTCAAAAGAATTAGAAATGCTTAAAGTGATCATTTTGTGTTATTCCAGATCTTGGAGAAGAATTCTTCAGCCTCTCCACATTTAATATGGTGTCAGCTGTTGGCTTGTTGTATATGTCCTTTGTTACATTATTGTGTACCTGATTTGTTCAGAGTTCCTATTATGAAAGACTCTTAATTTTTATCAAGTGCCTTTTCTACATCTATTGAGAATGACATACGATTTTTGCACTTTGGTTGTTATAGCATGTCATGTGTAGTGATTTGTGTATGTAAAAACACACTAGTATCCTTGGGGTAAATCTCTTCTGACTGTAGTATGTAATCCTTTTAATGTACTAGTATTTTTGTAAATTTTCCCATCTGTACTTACCAAGGATATTAGTTTATAATTTGAGTTTTTGTTGTATCTTTGGTTTTGGTTTAAAGGTAATGCTGACCTTATAGAATGCATTTTGAAGAATTATTTCTCTCCTATTTTTGAATAGTTTAAGAAATATTGATGTTAATTGTTTTTACATGTTTCATAGAATTTATAAAAGGGCAGGCACTATGGCCTAGAGGGTAAAGCCACTGTCTTCAGTGCTGGCATCTTATATTGGCCATCACTTCAAGTTCTGGCTGATCCACTTCCAATACTGCTCCCAGATCATATGTCTGGGCCACTGTACCCATGTGGGAGTTCCAGATGAAGTTTCTGATTCCTGTCTTCATCCTGGCACAGTTACAGATATTGTAGTCATTTTAAAAGCAGGAAAATTGCAAGTTTACAACATAGTACTGCATGTAAAAAACTAGAAAAGCAAGCTGCCTATATCATCAGATAGTAAAATGAAATAAAACAGAAGTCAGAATATTGGTAAATGACTCCAAACAGGCATAACCACAGTAGAGAGGCAAGAGAGCTACAGAACAAACAAGGACAAAAATAAAAAGAACTATGGCCAGCACTGTGGAACAACAGGTTAAGCTGCTGTGAACAATGCTGACATTTTATATTTAAGTGTTAGCTGGGAGTCCTGGCTACTTTGTTTCTGTCACTACATTGCTAATACTCCTATGAAGTTAGTACTTAATGATCAATATGTTTGGGGCCCTTCCACCCATGTGGGAGGCTAAAATGGAATTTAGGCCTCCTGGCTTTGGTCTCACCTAGACATGGCTGTTTCAGCCATCTGTGGTAGTGAAGTAGTGAATATAAGAACTTGGTGTACATGTTTTGCTCTGTCATTGTCTTTTAATGGAAAAAAAATTAAACATTGGCCCAGAAACAATCCCAGGAAGATAGTTTGGACATTTGGCCACCACAGCAATACTTATGAATCCTCTTCAATCTATAAATAGATTGGTAATATGGACAAATGAGACAGTCTACACACAAATCTGCGATTCACATGACTGAAAAAGCCACAAGACAAATCCTACCTAGGACAAAAAAAAACCAACATCCAACTCTAATAGTACAGCATTATGGCTGGCATGTGAGGTAACACAACTGTGGTCACATTACTGATCTGTACTAGAATAAATGGAGGAAGACTCATGTGCAGGCAGTGAAAGAGTTGTACCAAATACTTTGCAAATGTTAGGGTTGTATTTCAAACTGAGTAGTATAGAATGAGTATTTACTTACAAAAAATTACATGTGGATATCGCTCCCCTACTCATAATAAGTGCAGGCAAAACAGCAGATTATATGGCACAGAGACTAATGTAGATTTCAAAGACTGCATAGCCAGCCTCTGCAGTACAGTGTTACACCCTCATGTGAATTCCCTAATACCTGCAGAGATGTGATGTTAAACAGGTATTTTTCCACCTTCATTACTGTTTTGCAGAATAATATTGAGTAATTTTGCTAGCACTTATTTTATGTACTAATAATTTTGTGGATAATTTTGCTGATGCTTGTTGAAATCTGCCTCAGAGTAAAAGCTTTGCCCACTTCCAATGCCTTTGTAGAGTTCTTCCTCTAAGATCCCTGATAGTGAGATCTGGCTATGGTAGAAAGTTTTCCTATATTCACATGCTTTCTCACCTGTGAGTTCTTTAATGTGTGCCTAACACTGACTTCTGGCATCAGGAATTTTCATAATCACTTCATTAAAAGGTGTTTCTTCCTTTTTGTGAGTTTTGCCTTCTGTTGAGATGTAGCTTCTGGCAAAAAGTCTTTTCTTATCCATAGCACTGACAAGTTATCTCTTACATGTGAGTTCTTTGATGCCTTCTGAAGTTTGAATTCTGGGAAAATGTTTTTCCACATTCATCACATTGATAAGGTTTCTCCCCTGTGTGAACTCTCTGATGTGTAATGAGTTGTGAGTTATTACAAAAGACTTTTCCACATTCATAAATTTTCTCTGATCTATGCATTCTCTGATGGGTAAAGAGTTGTTATTTCCAACAAACGGGTTTTCCACACATTTTGCATTTATAAATCTTCTCCGTCTTATGTAGAGTGAGTTGTGACTTCTGGAAAAACGATTTTCCACAGGTACTACATTCATAAGTTTTCTTCCTTTTTGTGGATCATCTGGTGTGCAATGAGTTGTGATTTTTGGCAAAAGGCTTTTCCACATGTATTGCATTCAAAAGGTTTATCCCCTGTGTGAATTTTCTCTGATGTGTAGTAAGGTTTGACTTCTAGCGAAAGGTTTTTTCACACATTTCACATCCATAAGGTTTCTCATTTATGTGAATCTTCTGATGTGAAGTTAGATTTGACTTTTGGATAAAGGCTTTTCCACCTTTATTACATTCATAAGGTTTCTGCCCTATGTGAATTCTCTGATGTACAGTGAGATTTGACTTCCAGGAAAAGGCTTTTCTGCATATAACACATTTGTAAGATTTCTCCTTTGTGTGAATTCTTTGATGTGAAATAAGGATTGTTTTCCAATGAAAGCCTTTTCCGCATGTATTACATTGATAAGGTTTCTCCCCTGTGTGAAATCTCTGATGTAGAATGAGTTGTGACTTCCAATAAAATGCTTTGCATCTTGTGTGAGTCATGTGATTTGTAGTATCTGACCTCAGGTAAATGGCTTTCCCACATTCATCGCACCCAGGGGGCCTTTCCCCTTTCTGAGTTCCATGATGGATAGAAAGGCAGGATTTACAATTGAGAGATTTTCCACAGGGGTTACAAGAATAGGTTTTTCTTCCTGTATGTGTTCTTTGACTTGTGATAAAATCTGATTTGTAAATGAGAGTTTCCTCATACTCAAAAGATTCATAAAGTTTCTTTCCTGTGTGTGCTTGTTGAGGTTTACTGAGGTAGGACTTTTTCTGGAAAGTTTTCTTTACATGTTCAGTTGTCTTTCCTACAATGCCAACTGACTTATTACAGGTGTCTCCCATATGAGCCCTTTCATTTGTAAAGAACACCCTTTTCCTGTTGAACCCTTTGCCTTTTACACTGTGTTCAAACACCTGCTGAAAAGGCTGAATCTTGTGAGGCTGCCTGATGGGCTCCCAACGTTCACTTGAGTTGCCAGGTACATTAGTGCCATCAGATTTCTCTGCAGCTCACATCTCATCAGGCCTCCTAGGGAGAAGCAAATTGTGAAATAAATTATATGTCTCAGCTTTCAGTAAAAATATGGCCTGAGCTTAAATTAAGTGTTGCTTTTTTTTTTAACAGGCAGAGTGGACAGTCAGAGAGAGAGAGAGAAAGGTCTTCCTTTGCCATTGGTTCACCCTCCAATGGCCGCTGCAGCTGGTGCACCACGCTGATCTGAAGGTAGGAGCCAGGTGCTTCTCCTGGTCTCCCATGGGGTGCAGGGCCCAAGCACTTGGGCCATCCTCCACTGCACTCCCCAGCCATAGCAGAGCTGGCCTGGAAGAGGGGCAACTGGGACAGAATCTGGCACCCTGACTGGGACTAGAACCTGGTGTGCCGGTGCTGCTAGGCGGAGGATTAGCCTGTTGAGCCACAGCACCAGCTAAGTGTTGCTTTTTAACTCTCTTGTGTGCTAAGTTGTTGTTTGTGATTACAACTTGCCTCAAATTTATTTGTTGACTTTTCCAGTTGGTTCCCAATAGGTCATCCCTTCTGTGGGCTGAAATGAGAAAAAAAAAAAAAACTATATCCATGAACCATATATAAATGTTACTTGTAGAATGTTCAAGTAAAAGCAATGCAATTTCTTAGTGGAATAGCATTTGAATAGGTCAGTAAAAGGTATTCAGTGTTGCCCTATATATCTTTTTCTTCATAATACACTAAGGTAATAAAACAAAGGAAGCTTTCCCAAATTCATACATTTAACTATGTTAATTGTTTTAAGTGGAGAGAAGGGGCAAGTGATGTCAGGCAGTGGGTCAAACCATTTCTGAAGATACAGTCATCCCACATTAGTACCAGATGAGTCCTGGCTACTGTGCTTCCAATACAGATTCCTGCTAATGTGTCCTGGCAGGCAACCAATGATGATTCTAAGTGTGTTGGAGCCTGCCACACACTTAAAAGACCCAAACAGATTTACTGGCTTTTGGTTTCAGGTTGGCCTCATTCTTACTGTTGCAGGCATTTGGGCAATGAACATGTAGATGGAGGACTTTTCTCTCATTCTCTATTTCTCTGTTACTTTCATTCTGCCTTGCAAGGAGAACCTAATAAACATTTTCATAACTAAGTAAATATTCATAAAAGTTGAGAAACACTTAGTAAAAAATACTTACCAACTATCTTATTTGAGTAATAAGCTGCAAACTTCCCAGAAGCCATCATCATTTCTTATAAAAGTGAGGTTTCTTGCTTCCTTAATCATTCAGCTTTGAAGATGGGAAAACTTCATTGGATCACTTACTTATAGGTACCAGAAGAGGACATGTGTGTATCCCCTAGGCAGGACCATAACTTAGAAACAGCATCCATTTTTTGGTTGCTGCATGTTCAGTTTTTCCAGGGGAATGGCTATAGAGATCTGTGGGGTTTCTTAAGCAAAAACACCTCCTTTAAATGTTTTCAAGATTTGTTTATTTTAGAGGCTGGTGCTGTAGTGCAGTGGGTTAAAGCCTTGCCCTGTGGCACCAGCATCCCATATGGGTGCCAAGTCTCAGCTGCTCCTCTTCAGATTCAGCTACCTGCTAATGTGCCTGAGAAAACAGCAGAGGATGGCCCAAGTCACTTGGTCCTTGTACCTGCATAGGAGACCCAGAAGAAACTCTGGACTCTTGGCTTCATATTGATTCAGCTGCACGCATTTCAGTCAGTTAGGAGTGAACTGGCAGATGAAAGACCTCTCTCTCTCTCTCTGTCTCTACCTCTCTCTCTCTCTCTCTCTCTCTCTCTCTCTCTCTCTCTTTCAAATAAATAAAAAAAAACTTTTAAAAAAGATTTATTTTTTTTTAAAGACAGAGTTACAAAGAGAGATGGAGAGAGAGAGAGTATTCATCCACTTATTCACTCCCCAAATGGCTGCAATGGTCAGGGCTGTACCAGGGTAAAGACAGGAGCACAGAACTCCAAATGAGTCTCCCAGATATGTGCAAAGAAACATCTGCTGCTTTCCCAGGCACAGTACCAGGGAGCTGCATCACAAGTGGGGCAGCCAGGACTCAAGTTGGTGCCCATATGAAATGCTGTCATTACAGGAAGTGGTTCAACATACTGTCACAATCTCAGCCCTTCCCAAATCTTTTATATGCACATTATGATGACAGGTTTCCACAGATTCCTAAGAAAACCTAGTATCTTCAGATTCTCAGTACCACAGAAGGCCCATAAATGTCCCATACATCATTTTTTGTATGCTTTCCAATCAATTTAAGGAAATATGTTCTGCCATTAGGATTATGTTCACCTTCTTTGAGAAGTACTTCAACCTCATTATGAAACCAGCATACTTGGTATTCTTTGAGTTCTTGGTATTACACTCTTGCTCTAAAATTTAAAGTTATGTCTTTCAATGCTTGTGCTAGATGCTCAAAATTATCCCATTTTTACAGAAAACTGATTCTCTTATGCATTTCTAAACTTTTATATTATAATTATATTATAAAAGGAGCAGGAAAAGTATTATAGCAGGTTAACCTGCTTCCTGCAACACTGGCATCCCATTTTCTTCATGATTTATTTATTTGAACTACAGGGATAGGGACAGAAAAACAAAGCCCATTCACTCATTCACTTTTCAATTGCTTGCAATGGCCATTTATTTTGTTACTCATTTATTTGAGAATCAGAGACAGAAAAAAGGGAGAGAGGGGATGCCACTATGGCATAGCGGGTAAAGCCACTGCCTGCAGTGTTGGCATCCCATGTGGGTACTAGTTCAAGTCCCAGCTGCTCCACTTCTGACTGGGAAAGCAGTAGAAGATGTACAGTAGAAGTACTTGGGCCCTGCACCCATGTGTGAGTCCCAGAGGAATCTACTGGCTCCTGGCTTCAGATTGGCGGCAGCTGCAGCCAATTGGGGAATGAACCAGCACTTGGAAGACCTCTCTCTCTCTGCCTTTCCTTCTTTCTCCAAGTAACTGACTTTCAAATCAATAAATCTTAAAAAAAGACAGAATAAGGGAGAGGAAAGAGACAATGAGAAAGCTCACGTTCACTAATTCAGTACTCAAATTTGTGCAACAGTAAGGCCTGTGCCTGGTCAAAACCATGAGTGGGAACTAAATTTCTGCAACTAATAAGAAATCAGTTCCTCTGTGTGATCCAATTTTTATAAGCATTGATAGAATAAATACATGAATAGGACAGTGCCATGGCTCATTTGGCTAATCCTCCACCTGTGGCACTGGCACCCCAGGTTCTAGTCCTGCCTGGGGTGCCAGATTCTGTCCTGGTTGCTCCTCTTCCAGTCCAGCTCTCTGCTGTGGCCCAGGAAGGCAGTGGAGGATGGCCCAGGTGCTTGGGCCCTGCACCCACATCAGAGACCGGGAGGAAGCACCTGGCTCCTGGCTTCAGATCAGTGCAGCACACCAGCCACAGCACACTGGCTGGAGCAGCCATTTAGGGAGTGAAACAATGGAAGGAAGACCTTTATCTCTGTTTCCCTCTCTAACTCTGCCTGTCAAAAAAAAAAAAAAAAAAGAATAAACATCTGAAGAAAAACAGGATGTGACAGTAGGAAGAAGGACAAGTTTGAATACAGGGGATGTATTTAACCTAAAAATTAGTCTCATTACAGGCAGAAATTGATTGCAATGGGGCTAGCACTGTGGCACAGTAAGCTAAAATTCTGCCTGCAGCATCGACAACCCATATGGGTACTAGTTCATGTTCCAGGTGCTCCTCTTCAAATTGGCTCTCTGCTAATGGCCTGGGAAAGTGGTGGAAGATGGCCCAAGTGCTCTCCATCTTGGAGACCCAGAGGAAATTTCTGGCTCCTGGTTTCATATCAGCTCAGCTCTGGCCATTGCAGCCATCTGAGGAGTGAACCAGTGAATGCAAGACCTTTCTATCTCTCCCTCTGTCTGTCTGTAACTCTACCTCTCAAATAAATAAATAAAATTTTAAAAATAAATTGATTGCATTGTTGGTAGTTCTGACAAAGTATTCACCCAGAGCAAAACAACAAGCAGATGATGCATCATATCAGCTGTTCTCAGGACTGAGACTTGGGATAAATAATGAGAAATGCTCTACCCAGTCAACATTCCTTGAGATCTTTTCCATCCCAGTCTCCCTGTCCCATGTGTGCTGACTGACCTGACAGGCTCCAATTTAGGGGAATTGTCACTGTCCATGGCTCTGTCCCCTGTTCCAACTTGAAGATCACCTCAGGTTTGCTTTTGCAGTACCCTGTTAAAGGGAAATAATGCTGGGTGTCATCATATCATTATGTTAGAGTTTTGAAAGACAACAGCTTGTTCACAGGGACTGTGAAACAAAATTGTTGATTTCAATCCTTTCCTCATGTTTCTGGGCCTCAAATTCTATGCTTATCCACCATGTAATCTTTTAAACAATTAATTTGCTTGCCACATGGGAAGTAACTGTTTCACTTCGGCATGAGAGGGGAATAATACTCACCCAAAAACAACAGGCTATTGTAGGTCTCCATCATCGTATCTTTGTACAGGGTCCTCTGAGAACTGTCCAGGTACTGTCACTGCTCCTGAGTGATGTCCACAGCAAGGTCTTCAAATGACACCAACATCTGCAACAGCACATTTTTTTTTTTGGTTCATCATGCCAGTTCTGTCACAAAAAAACTAGGAGTGCATTTCTCTGTGTGTGTCTTCTATGCCTCTTATATAAGATGCGGATGATTTTGGAATCTATATGGCAACAGAATGCAAAATTACAATGAAAATGTCTTGCTTCTATATTAATTTCATAATTCAAAAATCAGTACAGTGGAATGCTTGTTATTATGGAACTGCTCTTTCTCCTAATGATTTTGAAAAGAGCCCATACTGCAATCTGTAGAAATACATGTAAACATATGACTGAATTAGCATTAGATGAGTTACAGGAGAAAATGTTGAACATCAATTGGGAGAACGAGGAATTTCTTAAAAAATAAATTTTTCTGTATTATCAGATCATTTATTTTATTGCAAACTTTTTTAAATTTATGCATAGTTTTTTATAATGTATTTTTTCCGTTAATTATTTGATAAATTTTTGTGTGTACTTAATGATTACCACAATTATGTAACCAGGCCATAGGTCAAATAATATTTACATCATGGACATAGAGTTTGAAGCAGGAAAAAGAATATCAGTAACATGTATCAGGTACAGTTCACTCTACTTCATATGTCTACAGGAAAATGCTGAGCTCATAAAAATATCCAAATCATACAAGAAAGAGATAAAGGGAAGAGGAAGAAACCAGAAACTTGAGGATGCATAGGAATGGAAAACTCTCAAAGCATTTTCATTTGGGCTTTTATTATAAGGTTTTCAAGTCTGCCTTTTTTAATCTTACAAGTAAAATATACAGTAAGAAACAATTTGGAAAGCCAAAACATTCATACTGAAATCCATGTTAACTTGAAAATTAAGGTTATGACCATGACAGCTATTGCTAAATCATGTAAATGAATTAGTTGTTCTCAATAGAATTTTCAATTGTTCAAAATCACAGGAAGGAGATCACAAGGTACATCTAAAAAACATGCTAAAACACTAGTAACATAACCAGACAAAATGTCATGTTTCAGAAGGCTTACACCTGGCTGGAATAACAAATACACTCACACACACAAATACACACATACACACACATTCTAAAGGGTTATACTGTCAGAAACAACCAAATTTACTTCAAAAGTGCCAGAAGATAAAGAAGTTATATTATAAACAAGAAGGAAGCCAACAAGGCAGCCCAGCCCATAGTAAGCATGCTGTATTCAGTCCTGGTCGATGATGTAATGTGGAGCCAGTGCCATGGCTCTCTAGGCTAATCCTCCACCTTGTGGTGCTGGCACACTGGGTTCTAGTCCCAGTCGTGGCACCAGATCCTGTCCCAGTTGCCCCTCTTCCAGGCCAGCTCTCTGCTGTGGCCCAGGAGTGCAGTGGAGGATGGCCCAAGTGCTTGGGCCCTGCACCCACAAGGGAGACCAGGATAAGCACCTGGCTCCTGCAATCAATCAGCATGGTGTGCTGGCCTCAGCGTGCCAGCTGCGCCGGCCACAGCAGCCATTGGAGGGTGAACCAATGGCAAAAGGAAGACCTTTCTCTCTGTCTCTCTCTCACTATCCACTCTGCCTGTCAAAAAAATGATGTAATGTAAATAATATTGATAATGGTTAAAGAAAGCTATTTCTGAGAAGAAACAATGATTCCTTGGAAAACAACAGGTTGAAGAGCTACCAAGGTATGGAATGGAGTCAACAAAGTCTGTGTCTCAAGTACACAGCACAGGCCACTCTCCACATGTATCCCAAGTATGGTCATATTGCCATGAGACAGTGCTGCTATCCTCCAGAATTCCTAAATTATTTTTAAAATGAAATTATAAAAAAGGAATGGCTGTCATGATTATCCTCCTCCTTTTTAAATCATGTACACTGATTAAAAACAAAGCAGTCACCTTGTCTGCTCATGACACACAGGTCTAACAATCAAGAGAAGCCACATCTGGACATGATACATGTCTGGTTTCATTCACAGAACTTGGATTTGATTTCAAAGTTGAGAATAGATGATATTTTTTAAGTTTGTCTCTCTGGGTATGGAATGAAGTTAAGACACTTGTGAGATAAGATTAACTGATGTGTGGTGACCACTGCTCACTCAACTTCAGTATTGTTTCTTGTGAGAAAATCACATATCCTCTCCCAGTCTAGAACTCACACAAGTTCACATGATTCTCACTCAGCAAATATCAGTAGATATGAATTGTGTCACTTCTAGGAGAGCTTTACTTGGTCCAATGGCTTCTATATTCTCCAATCACAAAGATGAGCATTTCTAGTAAAGGTCACTATAGCAGGATGAAGAAAATAGGAGATCTGAAACACACTTTAAATGTGGAAGCCCTGCAGTGTCTGGGAGTCACTTGTCACCTAATTATACCCTAACTTTTCAACCCTATTGTTGTGAGACACTAACAAATAGAGCATCTGTTACAGCAGTTCACTTTAATAGATGGATCTCTCTAAGTCCATGAAAGGGGGCAAGAAATGCACAGAGGCTAGGGGTTATAGACTTTTTAGCAAATTTTGTGGAAAACATACACAAAATAAAATTAAAAGTGAACCCACAGTTCACACTGAGTATTTAACAACTTTAGAATTACATGCAGTGTGTGATTAATAATCTTAGATTAGGAAAATCTATTCTAACTGAAACTCAATATCCAGAAACTATGCAAGCTCAAATTCAAGAATAGAAAACTCAGCAGAATTTTTAGAGGTAGAATGACAAAGGAAACTCATGACTGGTGCATAGGGAGATTACTGATGCCAGACAGGAGTGTCAATTGGTAAAGTCAACAACAGGAGTCACTGTGCACTTACTCCTCATGTAGGATCTCTATCCTTAATGTGCTGTGCATTGAGATTTAATGCTATAACGAGTACCCAAACAATATATTTCACTTTGTGTTTCTATGGGGGTGCAAACTGTTGAAATCCTTACTTAATGCATACTAAACTGATCCTCTGTAAAAAAAAAAAATTATCAATTCCCAACTTGACTCTCACTGGGATTAAACATGACAATAGGTCTGCTCTGATTTCATCATTTAAAAAAAATCATCTATTATTTTTCACTTTATGTTTCTGTGTGGGAGCAAACTGTTGAAATCCATACTTAATGTATACTAAGATCTTCTGTATTAAGATAATCAAAAATGAATCTTGATGTGAATGGAAGGGGAGAGGGAGTGGGAAAGGGGAGGGTTGTGGGTGGGAGGGACGTTATGGGAGTAACTTAAACATCACCAGATATGCCTTTTTTGTGTATTGTCAATTGCCAAATTCTGAAGATATGTAGCATGGGAGGTTAAATCCAATGCCAAAAATGACTACAGAGGAAGGAGATTTTTTCATTCTCATTTTGCTGAGGATACAAATATCTTCCATTGGAATGGGTCTCATTAATATGGGATCTCAGATGAAAGTACTGGAGACTCAGTGATGTGTGGGATGCTAGCAAGTGGTATGGGCAAGTGGTATGGCACATATGTAAGTGCAGATCTCACTGGGAGTAGGATCAGAGAATATATCCTAAGCTAGTGAAAATTGTAATCCTATTGATCAACAAATCAGGCTACAAATCACAAGCTATACAGAAAAATGTTAACATTTCCTGAACAAACATTGTCCTTTACCAAAATTCTAGAGGTTTTCTCTCCTTTTAAGTATTTATGTATTTGCATGGCTGAATGACAGGGAGAGAAAGATAGGGAAAAAATCTTCCATTAGCTGTTTCACTTCCCAAGTCTCAGCAAATTCAAAAAGTCAAAATCATACCATGCATCTTCTCAGAACATAATGGAATGAATCTGGAAATCAGCAACTCAGGAATCTCTAGAGCATATGTAAACACATGGAAACTGAACAACATGCTCCTGAATGAACACTGGGTCACTGAAGAAATCAAAAGAGAAATCAAAAACTTTCTGGAAGCAAATGAAGATAACAACACAACATATCAAAACTTATGGGATACCACAAAAGCAGTGTTAAGAGGAAAGTTTATAGCAATAGGTGCCTACATCAATAAATTGGAAAGGCACCAATAAATGAGCTACCAATCCATAACAGGGATCTAGAAACTCTACAGCAACCAAACCCAACCTAGTAGGAGAAAAGAAACAATTAAAATCAGAGAAGAAATCAACAAAATTTAATCCAAAAAAATTACAAAGATCAGCAAAACAAAGAGCTGGGTTTTTGAAAAATAAACAAAATTGACACACCATTGGACCAACTAACCAAAAAAAAAAAAAAAAGGAGAGGGAAGACCCAAGACCCAAACCATTAAAATCAGAGATGAGAAAGAGAATGTAACAACAGAAACAACAGACACCAAGAAATAGTCATCAGAAATTACTACGAAGAGCTGTATGCCAACAAACTGGGAAGTCTAGCAGAAATAGAAAGATTCCTGGACACATACAACCTACCTAAATTGAACCATGAAGACATAGAAACCTAAATAGATCCATATCTAAGACAGAAACTGAAACAGTAATAAAGGCCCTCCCAACAAAGAAAGCCTAGGACTGGATGGATTCACTGCCGAATTCTACCAGGCATTTAAAGAATTAACTCCAAGTACTCTCAAGGTATTCAAAACAACTGAAAGAGAGGGAATCCTCCCAAATGATTTCTACAGAGCCAGAATCACCTTCATCCTTAAACCTAAAAAAGAGGCACCAGAGAAAGAGAATTACAAATCAATTTACCTGATGAACATAGATGAAAAAAATCATCAATAAAATTCTAGCCAGTAGAATGCAGCAACACATCAGAAAGATCATCTACCCAGACCAAGTGGGATTTATCCCTGGTATGAAAGGATGTTTCAACATTTGCAAATCACTAAATCATTTACAAACTGCAGAAGAAAAAGCATGCAATTATCTCAAAGATGCAGAGAAAGCATTCAATAAAATATAACACCCCTTTCACGATGAAAACTCTGAGCAAATTAGGTATAGAAGGAACATCCTTCATTACAATCAAGATGATTCATGACAAACCCATGGCCAGCATCATACTGAATGGGGAAAAGTTGAAACCATTCCCACTGAGACTCCGGTACTAGACAGGGATGTCCACTCTCACCACTGCTATTCAATATAATACTGGAAGTTTTTAGCCAGAGCTATTAGGCAATAAAAGAAATCAAAGGGATTTAAATTGGGAAGGAAGAGTCAAACTATCCCTCTTTGCAGATGATATGATCTGCAACTCTACCAAGAGACTATTGGAATCATAGAAGAGTTTGGTAAAGTAGCAGGTTACAAAACCAATACGCAAAAATCAACCACCCTTATATATACAGACAATGCCATGGCTGAGAAAGGATTTCTAATATCAAT